AAAAGTTGCCTGCTGGGGCAAGAGCGAAAAATTCCGATACGATGAAATGACAGTTCAAAGACTCAAGGGAAAAAGTCAGCAGCTAAGTTCTGTTTTGCAATCCAGTAAATCTCAAATGGCTTTCAGAAAGCGTATCGGATTTTAAAAAAAAATATTTTTAAAAAACCAATGCTTTTCATGGAATTTCCCAGCATTATCCCGCACTTCGTTTTTTCCATTTTTTTTACTTCAACCTTGTCGTTTTTTTTTTTTTGCTTTTGTTAATACTGAACATATAATATAACAAGGCAAGGGGATTTTGTAACCTTAGCAATCTGTTCAGTAATGTCAAGTCCATTTTCTCGTAAACTTTCTCCAGACGTGCTTCCAGCATCACGTCACATTCGCCTTCGCTGGTATCCCAAACTTCTTGCAAATTATTGATGCCTTGACACCTAGAAATTGCAAACGTGAAATAAGAGTTTTGAAAAAAAGATTTGATTTTTAATTCTGAACAGACTTTGGATTTCGAGGAATAGATTTTTACAAAAATCGTTTTTTAATTATGAGAAATTAAACTTCAAAAATCGATTATTAAGTGTAGAAACAGTCCTCTGCCTAACTTAAATTCCCTGCGCTAACTTAGCACAGGTGCAAAAACAGTTCAATAACGAAAGCCGAAAAGCCAATTGTAGCTCTGGAAAAGACTCAAAAGTACAGCGAGGGATGCTTAAACCGCTTTTTCATGACCACATAAGCTTAATCAGACTCTTCGTCAGATGAGCGGAGTGCAAGAACACTGTGCATACGCAAGAATTTAGCAGCTGATGGGCAGGGAATGTTGCTCGCCTTGATGATAACCCGCAGACTTTGAGTATTGAAGAATAGCACTGGGCAAAATGACTATTCAGATGGCCCAAGAAGTGGCGTATATGCACCGGACAAGCGTTGGGCGCACAGTGGAAGAATATTGCTCGAAACAAAGTAGTCTGACATAGCTGTGCTCCCAGCTTTCTTGGTTCCCGAGCTAGCGATTTTCGCGCAAGGAACCCTCACGGGGCCGTACGCGGGAAAAGCGCACACGTGAGGGCTGAATTTGAAATCTTTGAGTTCTATATGGACGGGGAACACAACCCCAAAATTTTAGCCTTCTCGACGTGTTAGGAGCATCCCAGTAACATCATTACTCTGAAGTTCACACAATAAATTTCAGTTTTTGATACGTTAAACTGCTAATTTAACTACGAATTCAACAACACTAATGTTTATTTCGGGGCCGCTTAATCGCTAATTTTTGCCCCTCAATAAGCTCAATATATACAATTATCTTTCTAAAATATACGACCAAATAGCTCACCATTTATAAACAAGCAACGGTGGCGGCTCCGTGTCGCTGGGCTTAATCCAGTTGGGGAACAGACGACGTTTGTCTGCTTCATACCACAAATACTGATCCAGGTACGCATCGGTGACCTTTTCCAGTGGTTCAATGTCATAAACAGGCACAAGATGCGAATACAGATCCATGAATTCGATTCCAACTTCCTGAAATTTCAAAAAAATAAAATTGGAACAAACAAGGACAAGGCTTGTCGCATGGGTGCTCTCAACAACAGCGTTAACATCAAAGTTTCACAGCTGATCGTTTTCTCTCTTCTTTTTTCCCTCTCTTCTTTTTCAAAGCTATTTTTTTTATGTAATTGGTGATCTGCCCATATTATCGGTAGTCTCGCACTGAAGCTTTTTTTTAAAAGCAATATAAATTGGTACAGTGTTTTTGGAGTGTGATTTTTGTTTTTAAAAACAGACAACGGATGGCAGGCATATATATTTTGTTTGATAATAAAATAATTGGCCAACGCACGGGTTGCCAGTGCGAAGATGCGTTTTTTGCATGGTTCCCCGCAGTTTTTGTTGCTACCGGCACCGGTTTT